ACTTCCACGGCGCTAGACAAACCAGGAAAGGGCCATTTCTTCTCATTGTGGAATAAAGGACTGGCTTTTTGTAGCATTAGCCCTAAAGCTGACCCAAGTGTGTAGAAGCAAACCAAGTAAATGATGTGCACCAAGCCATTTGATTGTCACATTAAGCTCTGGAGCTAGACTTCCAGGCAAATGACATTAAAGGTATGTGGTTTGTTAAATAGCATCATTCACAAACTGAAGTATCTCCTGTCTCCATACCTCGCTCTGTTTGTATGGAGATTAGACTTCCAGGCGAATGACATTAAAGGTATGTGGTTTGTTAAATAGCATCATTCACAAACTGAAGAAGCAGTATCTCCTGCCTCCATACCTTGCTCTGTTTATATGGAGATGTAAGATTATTACCAGGAATAAGACATTATACTCCATATTTAATGATGTATCCTCCCATATCTTATCATCTGCAGTACTTTGCACTGCATGTTTATCATTTCATATTTTTTGTGGCCTCGCCTTCTGTTTAGCCGACAAGCCATTAATTTTAATGGCCCATATTTAGATTCCCAGGCTCGTGAAGGGAATCCCATTAAACCTGGAGAGAATTTCATCCACCTCAAACCAAGCAGACTCAAAATTGTCTAGTGCAGAAGCAATTTCCTTGGGATTCCATAAAGGATGTTGTGAAGTGCATCACCTTAGACCTTAAAAATCGGACAATAACTGCCTTTAGTATCATTATTTGTTTCACAAATACTCATATTATGAATCAGTTTGCTTGCAATAGCTGAACATGGTAGAAGAAGTGAAGAGTGACCTTAACCTTTCACAGAAGGATGCAGAGCTAAGCTACAACCTGAAGAGACTTTTAAGTCTTTATTTGATTTTAGTTCAAACAAATTTATCCAATTTAATATAGTACATTTTAACCTAAATAGTATCAATTTTAGGATAAAATCAAGGTTTCCTATTGAAACATTATGCAACCACTCTGTTTATGTCTCAGACTCTTCTTTTTTAACTTGTTGCCTCATTTCCATTATATATGACGGAAGTTCCAAGGTTCCTTAAAATACGTAGATGGATACTGGAGAAAACAACAAAAGGCTTTATCAGGAGCTTATAAATACACCAGAGGATTCTCAGCCCTTATAACAGCTTTACTGCAGCAGAAAGTTCAGTGAGAACTCCCATCTCTTGGTGAGACTATACAAAATTTAGTACTAATGCTTACAGTTGTGCTTACCACCATGATCATTATCTGAGAGCAGGTTGCAGGACTTTTCCATACTAATCAGGGGCATCATACTTATGAAGAGGCCATATGATAATATTCTTCTGGTCCATCTGTATTTAGGCTCTTGATCCCTTTCAGAGTGTTGGTGATATTTGTGGCTTCAAGATACCTAAAACGGGACTGTAAGAGTTGCTCCACTTAAAGACATCTACCATGTGTTGGCTTCCAGGAGGATAAGCACACGATCTTTATACAGCAGTGTCTTGATGGTGCATCAAGACCCGGTCCAGGACACAGTGTCTGGTGTGTTGTCCACCTTGTGTGTCTTAGTGCTGAGGCGTTTGGCTCTAGTTTTACAGTTGTCGATTTGAGATTTTTTTATTCTGAAAGGAATGTTGTAATGTTCATGTATGTAATGTAGTGTTCCTGTGTTTTGAAAAACTATAAAGTTTCTTTATGTGTTTGTGCTCTGGACTTATTTATGATAACTTGAGAAACAGAAGAAGGTTTTCAGAATTGTTGAAATACTTATATTTCTTCTCTACTTGTGGAGCAGCTTTCCTCAGAGGAAAAATCAGTCCAGGTAGTTAACTGGTAGTGCCACAGAGAGCAAAAGTAGTGAAGGAATGCTACTTTTCCACTTCCAGAGACTATCTACAAAGGACTTTGCAAAAACATCAGGCAAAAAAGAGCTTCTGTGAATCTCTTATGATTGTTTACATTTTGTTATTAGTGAGAGAGAAAAAAAAAGTGCTGAAGTACTTGTATTTCTGTTCACTTCTAGACAATAAAATTGTTGATGAGAGAGGTTTTCTTACTATTTGCCCAAAAATGGTGGTTCACACTGATAGCAAAATGATACAGAAAGATCTAGATGTGATTTTAAGTTTAAAACATGTTCTGACGAGCTTTGTAAGTCAGAGACACATTTTACTGATTTGCTGTTGATGACAGTGAAAAGAGCATATGTATGTTTTCTTAAAATTGCCTTTTTTTAATTACTTCTGGGTTAAAATTTTAAAAAGCATTTTTCCCCTCACATCTAAAGACAGACTTCTTAAGTGTACAGTTTTGGTCTCCCCAGTTCAAGAGAGGTGTGGAACTGCTGGAGAGAGTCTAACTGAGGGCTAAGGAGACGATTAAGGGACTGGAATGTCTCTCTTACAAGGAAAGGCTGAGAGACCTGGGGCTGTTCAGTCTGGAGAAGGGAAGGCTGAGAGGCAATCTAGATCAATGTTTATAAGTACCTGAAGTGTGGGTGTCAAGAGGATGGGGCTGGTCTTTTTTCAGCAATGCCCAGTGGTAAGATGAGGGGCAATGGGCAAAAACTGAAACAGAGGAAGTTACAGCTCAACATCAGGAGGAGCTTCTGTGCTGTGAGGATGACAGAGCACTGGAACAGGCTGCCCAGAAAGGTTGTGGAGTCTCCTTCTCTGGAGACTTTCAGAACCCTCCTGGACGTGTTCTTGTGTAATGTGCTGTGGGTGAACCTGCTCTGGCAGGGGGATTGGATGAGGTGATCTCCAGGGGTACCTTCCTGCCCCAACCATTCTGTGATTCTTTATGTCCTGGCCATTACTTATCTATAGAAATGTGTTACCTTTATGTTACCTTATTACATGTTTGGTTTGGGTTTACTCATTCTCACATGCTAGTTCTTACATCTCTTTCCAGAGAGTCAAATGCATCATGAATGTTTGGGCTGCTTCAGGATGTGAGGAAGTGAGTGAGCTTGCTAATAGAGTTCCTGCCAAAGGAAAAATTAAAGCTATGGGCTTAGGTATATCCTGAAGAGGATGATGATGATTCTGCAATTGCACAACTGTATTTTAGCCTAACAGTTTGAGGGCGTATGATGAATTTGTGCAGATATATTATGAGCAGTTTGCTACTTATAAAGAGGGATAACTTTTGGTCAGCTTAAATTGTACTCAGGTTGTGCTAGCAGATGTTGTAATTAAATTGCTTCCACCTAACAGGAATATCCTGGAGTAGGAGTTGGTGGAAGAAAGCATTGAAAATTCAAGGCTTTCAGAGCAACTCTGAAGCAGAGATTAAAATCTCAGAACAACAGATCCTAAAAGGGCAAAAGATAATGAAGTCACACAGAAAAGAACAGAGAGTCTTGTGGTTTTGCCTTAGCATTTATGTTCTGTCACCCATGCTATTACAGAAATTAGTGAAGTAAGCTTGGAGTGAGAAAGCTTTCTTTTATGTTTTGGTAACAAATGTTCCAAATACAGCTAGAAAATCTGCAGTTAACCTTTAGTTATATTTAGTGCTTTAGTGATGCTGAATGAGGTACAGTAAGATAAAGTACAAATAGATATAAAAACTGCCTTAACTTGCATCTTGGTTTTGAGAAGGGCGAGATGGAAATAAAGGCTGTAAGGTGGTAAACAGAAGCACTAACTTCCCTGAGAGCTCCAGAATGTATCTGCCTGTTGTAAATGGTCAGCTGAAATCCACTGCAGCTGCTTATTAACTCCCAAGAGGAGTTGCCTACTGGCTGCTTAACAGCATATAGCAGTTGGGCTTGATCTCAGTCAAATGCCCACAGAATGAGTCACACTGTGGGACAGTCTATATTCGCATCTACGGCACTAATTGTCAAGCCTGTTGTTGGCTCTTAAGAGGCACTGAAGATGAGTGGAGGTTTTTTGTTTTCTGTGGTTCATTTCTCCATTTCAGAGTTACAGCAAAGGTATAGGGAAATGTGTACTGTAGTTACTACTAAAGTGCTTGTTTTCCCAGAATTGATAGGAAAGCAGTCCATTTCTTTTGGTCTTTTGCCTCATTCCCTGAACATCAGTACCATGTGCAAGCTTACAGTAGGTATTTCATCTACAGAGTCCTTAACTGTAGTGAGCTAAGTCAGTGTTTTGGATGGATTTAGAAGACATGTAATTCTTCCTGATTATATCAGTGTAAGTAAATGTTTATAAAATTGCTTCTGGTGGTAATAATATTTCTGAGCTACCCTCAGCTTTACAGCTCTCACATGCTTGTGAGGTAAAGAAGAATATTTACAGATGAGGAACAGAGAAAGTCACAGAAGGTTCATGATTTCCTGCAAGTAGCAAGGATGCTGCAGCTCCCATTATCCTCTCACACAAATTTTAGCCTTTCTGTTACAGTTCCTTACAGCTGGGTTGGTATTGTTCATCTCTTTGAATAATACCAGTGCGATTTTTAATAATAGTGTATGCATGAAAGAAGTTTTAAATTTAGAAGTAAGATATGTAGTGAAATATAATTAATGTTGTCACAGCTTTCATACAGAGTGTGAAGCACATTGCCCAAGGTGAGTATCCAGTCTTGCAAATTACTCTTAAGTAAATGAACTTAGTACCCTGTTACATATAAGATTTACTCTTATGCTTGACAGAATGAGTTATTCATGGCCTGTATAAATTGCATATGCCTTTATTAGTTGAAAAAAAAACCCTAAATGTATATGAATATATTGCATCCTGTAATGTGGAATAGAAAAAGAACTAAGCTTTAGAGATTTTATTGATTGCTGGTGTTTTGTCTTATGCAGGTCTGACCTCTGAAGTTAGAGGATTTAATTAAACAGTTTATATGCACTATGCTTTGATTTTGGGGATTGTTTTCAAAACAAAATTTTAGGAATGTCTAGAAGGTGGTATACTGAAGAGATGACACAGCTCTATAACATTAGCATTTAGTAGAGTAAAATCCAAATACAGTGAAAAATACAGCAACTGTGTGAATGATGTTTTTTTATTTTTCTTTTTTTTTACCATCACAGTTTCAAAGAACGTTTGAATCTTTAAGAAATGTATCCAGTAAATCTGATCTACAGAAAACTTACCAAAAATTCCGAAAAGATCTGGAAAATCTTGATTATTTGGCATACAAACGTCAACAGGTAAGAACATGGAAGTTTAGTAGGAAGACATAGAATACTGGGCATAAACATGATGGGTTGTAGAACTGATGTGTTTGGTAGAGTTATTGTTCTGTCAGGATTTTATGCTTTGTGTGATGTCATCAGGTAAGCCAGTAGGAGGGGTGACAATTCTATTTAGTGCATATGATATTGGACTGTATGGTTTTTGATTTCTCAACAGAGAGAAACAAGGTAAGAGAGACTTAGAGGATTATTAAACTTTGCATTACCACATAACAATTTTTTTTTTAGAATTAAAGGGTGTAGAAACTTAGATTTTTTTACTTGAAAAACTAACTAAATACACATAAGTTGATGGCATCAGATATTGACTGTTTATGCAAACCACTAATTTTTTCCTCTTTAGAAATGAATTTACAAGGCTAGAGTGCATACAACTTGGAAGTATATGCAGTGTTTGACTTGTGCTTGCAACATCAAAGTGAAATTGCATTGTTAACATGTATTTAATATTGGACATTTTCTGTCACTTATGCATGGCTCCTGTGAAAATGTCAGCTCTCATAATAGGTCTTCACTTTTTTTGGTGTGTTTTCGGTAAAATAAGACTGGCTCTTTCAGAGGATACTGATGGAATTGCTCTAACATTTCTACCCAAGATCTTTTTGGTTTGTATTTTTCTGAATTCTGTCACTTGGTGTCAGTGTTGTCAAACGCTTGCTTGCTTGAGGGCAGATCACAGTTGTTTATATCAGGTAATTGATTAGATAGTTAAAAATTAGGAAAGGGCTCAAGGACAGATGGTATCTGAACACATGAATAGTTGATTCTTGAGATAGGGAGGTCAGGGAGCAATTGGCATGGGTGAGTTTCAGTGTGATGGGAGCTGTTATGCTGGCAGCATAGTTCTTTGTGCCCTTTGACATGATGCTGCCAGCAACCAAAAGACAATGTTTTAACTGGCAACTAATGTGGCTTTATGTTATCTGATCTCATAATTATGTCAAACATAATAAATATGTCACATCTGCAAGGGCTTGGAGAGCGTTTCTGAGCCAGAGAAGTGTACATTCTATAATTACTTCTCAGGCTATCATCACACTTTTACTGGCAGTAGCTTTCTCTAGTCTGAATTCTCACTCTTGACTGTGCAGAATTCCTTTTTATTTCAAGTGATAGATGTCTGGTTCTCTAGCAGACTGAATATGCTTCATTCAGTAACACACTTCACCTTGAGCAGTGCATCTTTGCAGATCTTCACTACCTTTCACATCCAATACTTTGCTCTTTTAAGGAGCATTTGGAGAACCTTGACATCCTTGTTTAATACCAGGTGTGCATATATCTCCCCATGCTATTTTTTCTCTGTATTTAACTGTATTGGCAGAAGCTTTTGCATTTGGAGGTGCTGAAGACCTAGTGGTGTAAAATTACTTCCTGCTTTCAGTCGCAGAACAGAAGATAGGCTATGTTATCTTCTGTTCTGTGATTGAATCTTTCAAAAATGTTACACAATGCTATTAAGAAAATAATCTAGTCAAAGGCTGTAATTATTAAAAAAACCCACAACCCCCGAAACAAAAAAACAAATGAGGGAGACAAGAGATGTTCTCTGTGTCTCAGTTACACCTTATACCTCATCAGTAGTTTATGGTTTTCTTGAGTAGTATTTTACCTGATTTTGCTACTGAGATTTACATCTCAATAGAACTTGCTGGAAAATCTGCATTGAGGGATTTGGAAAGCTGTCATAGCTCTTTGTTATAGAAGATGCTTTGAATTGTGTCCTGGTTTGAAAGGGAAGTGATCTCTCTGTGAAAAGATTAAGATTTGGTTTGACTACTGTGCAAGAACCACAGACCTGGATGGGGGCTGAGGCTGTTCTGAGTTCATGACATGTGTATCTGATGTTGTGGGGTGCAGTCATTTAATTGACAACGACTTATATGCTCTTGTATTCGATTAAGGGTATATTTGTAGCCCCACTGTCAAAATGTTGAGTCCCTACCATCTGTTTGGAGACAATTGTATGCAATATGAATATGGATCCAGTAATGGTAAATAAGTGTTTTATGTAGTCAAAGTCATTGATATGGCTTCTGAATGAAGTATGGTTATCTACTTCTGCCCCTGGTTTTTAGACATGAGACAAAGTGTAATATAGCAATGTAATTCTTTAGTGGTGAAGTGGGAAATAAAAATTGTGCTTTTTGAAGGATCTTTAAAATGACCCCTGCTGACTCTGATTTATAAATATAGAACAAACTGCTCTGCGTGGTAGAAGTACACAAGTGGCAAACATGCTTTGGATCATGGTTCATATTAAGTAATTTTTAACTGGCCATTTTCAGAATGGGCTAGGTCTTGAGTTTTCAGATGGCCAGTACATTGCCAACAGAAATGCCTTTTTAAAATGGGCAGAGAGGTCAAGAATTCAGTTCTGGCTTGCTTTATATAAAACCCCCAAAGTTGTTAGCATATGTTGGTCACACTTACCAGAGCTTTCAGATGCTAATTCTGCAGATAAGCTTAGTGTATGTATGGGCTGGCACAGAACTGGACAGGGTGCTAAATTCTTCAGTGATTACAGAGGAGGAAGAGGGGCAGTTCTTGGAGTTGGAGTGTTGTGAAGCTGAACTTTGTGGATGACATCTAGTATTGTGGCCAAGAATCCTGAATGATACTCTGTGCCATTCTCCTGTGTCCTAAACACAATATGAAGTATTGAGTGATATCTGTATGCCAGGTCTCCTTACTGTTGCTGTCTGTGTTGAACTCCCACCATATTTGCTCCCACCACATTGCTGCATGTTAGAGCTTTCCCTCTTACTGTTGGGTAGTGGAACACACATCTTCTCTACAAACTTGCTGTATTTTTCCAAGAAAGAGGGCTTATTAGCCAAGTTAGTTGAAAGTATGTTTAACTCAGGTCAGATGAATATAAGACATAAATAAAACATTCATACTTCACAGCAGAATGTAGGCTGGTCCCTTGAAGTGCTGATAAATGATGCAAGTGAAGAAATGCACAGGAGCTGCTCACACTCAGGTTGTGGTTGCTTGATTGGCCAAGTGCTGGCATCTGCAGACCCACTTACAGCCCTGGCATTGGCTTCATGTTCTTGTGCCTTTCATTCTTCCCATTCTGGCATTTGTGAAACACTGAGTAAGAGATGCTTCAGTACTAAACTGACTTAGAGTTACTTGCTTTTTGGTTCTTTCGTTGTTTTGTTAATCAGTTGCTCACTTAACATACTCTCTCCCCTATCTAGGTGGATGTCCCTTCATCCATCTAACTTGCAATGGCCTAATCTTTTGCATGCTTCCAGGGTTGGGTTTCATCCACTAGAGAAATTCATTTGAGTTGAGAGTATCACTTTATAGCCAGTCTGCCTTTTGAAGCCTTCTGGGAGATACCTGTTTCCAAGAAATATAGTTCCTTCTTGTCCAAGAGATAGTCTGTCAGTTCCTCTTAATTAAAAAAACCTTTCAATTTCTTTACTGCTGACTGTCATCTCTGAAATTTGAGTAAACAAAAGTAGGTTCATGCCACAATGTATGAGTAAAACTATTCTCTTGCTCTGTGACTTATTGGAATGTTTTCAGTACGGGTAAGCTGTACATTGGGCATTGCTGGGTATCAACCTAAACATGTCTGCAATATGAATATTTACAAGGGAAATGAGGTAGGACAAAATGGCACTTTGGGATAAGAGGGGACTCAGTGATAGATCCCATCACTCTTCTTGGAATACCATAGTAGGTGCATGCTTCTTTTTTTTCTCATATTGGTCTTTGCTGCTATTGAAGGAAAGTTGTCCATATATTGTTCAGCTGGAACAGTACAGGTTTAAGGCCATTCATTATAATCTTACAGTAAGGTCATTTCAAGAGTGCCGGGCAAAAGTTACAATAAAAATAGAATTATAATCAAATTAAGTGGTATTCAGCACCTGTCAAACTTAAAAATTACTGCTGCTGTTCTAAGCATTAACTGTGCTTTTAGGACGCCTGTAGCAGTACTGGCTGTAATTCAGAGACACTTAGTTTTCACCTAGAAGTCTTGTAATCTAGCAGTTGACAACAGAACTTTAGTATGTGAACACATGCTAAAGCAGTACCCTATTGTAAAGGTATGCTAATTTAAGCTTTACTTACTTGATTTTGATTGTATGCCCTCAAGTTAATCGTGTGTTAAAGGACTGAATCTGTGTGAAAACATTTTGGTTATTCATTTTAAAAATGTTTTTCAGAATGCTTCCTGATGATTGTTGTATTCAGAAATGTTTCAAGAAGTTGCATTAGAAACTGAAGGAGTTAAGGGCTGTATCCAAGGCATTTATAGGGCACACAGTAATTTGACTTTGCTTATGGGAGGTGATGCTTCCAGGAGGTGGAGCAGAACCCTTAACCTGTTATATACTTCAGATCAATCCCTCATTGTCAGTATTGCAGTTGCCTTCATGATCATACAGGTCAAATTTATATTTTAAAAGTCTTAATTTTGAACTGAAGACTTGCTTCTACAGTCAAATGGTATTTCTCTTTGTTCAAATGGAATGAGTGCACTTTTATTTTCTACATTTGATTGTTCACCTTGCGTTTTAAGATGGCCTTGTGTTGAGCATGAGGTTTGTTCACCAGAGCGCTCCACTCTAGAAGCTGGAACCAGGTTTTCAAAAGAGATGATTACCTATCAACTGGCTGGTTTATTGTGTGGCAACACTAAAAACCACGCTGAAAATTGGAGGGAGTTCAGGGTAGAGGTGAGTTGTTTGTTGTCAAGAAAACAAGTGTTATTGCAGAAAACTTAAGGAGCTCAGTCATTGTCTCTTATCTGGAAAAGGTTAAGGCTTGGAAATACCACATGTAGAGTTACTTAACTAAATCTTTATTCTAGTCCACAGAAGTATGACAAGTTCCAATGGGTGGAAATCAGAAAAGTTCAAACCAGAAAGCAAATTGTTTGTGACAATTATAACTGAGATGGCTTAGTTAAGAGCTGCAATACATTAGTA